TATATATATATATATATATATTATAATATATTTAAATATTTAATATTTACCAGCTTCAAGTTCAATATCTTTTTGAACAGTACTTTCATGAACTTCTAAGTCTAAAAGTTCTTGCAATGATAAAAGAGCTTCTTGAGCTCCTTCACCAGGAAATAAATAATCCGATAAGGTAATTTTACTTTCAGGCAATGCTATTAATACTCTCCTTGGAGGTTCATGTAATGTTATATTTTCTGAAAAAAAATAATAAAATGAGTTTTTCATAAATTTTTAATAATTACTTATATATATTAGATACCTTCTGGAGATCCATTTTCTTCTTCAATTAAACTATCCCAATGCATTTCTAATCTACTTGCTAATGATCTTATTATGTCTTGTTTTACTGCTGTATTAGCTTCTTCGACAATTGCTTTTTGATGAACAAAAGTTCTACTTACTAATTGACCAATCAAACGTATAGAAGCAGAACATGGCGTTACTTTCACATCAGAATTAATATTCTCTTCTTGCTAATAATTCATAAGATCATTAATATTTTAATTAAATTATTAATATGTTAAATATATTTCTTTTTATTTAAAAATTATTTTTAAAGTAGTTTTTAAAGTAATATAAAAATTAGGATAAATGTTTTTATAGGAAAAAAAAAAAAATACTCACACATGGAATATATAAGTTAATTTGAATAGATTGGTCATTATTATTTTTTTCACTACTTTTACAATTTTTTTCATCTTTTTTGTTTTTGCTAATTACTTCTAATGTATCATGTGGGGACCAAACTTCTCCTTCAATAACAATAAGGGAAGTTTCAACAATATCTGATATAGTTTTTAAAATATCTTGTAGTTGTTTTTTAAGAGTTTCTGGATCTTTATTAGCAGCAATAAGAAATAGGCGATCAAAATTTATAAATGTTTCAAGTTGATGCCACTTAGTAGCTCTAGTTTGAAATTTCCAATCTACTGATTTAAACATTCCATTTGTATTTATTTCTATAGATTTACAAGTATATCTAAAATAATAAAAAATTAAAATATAATAAAATGTATTTATTGAATATTATAATTTTTTATACTTTTGTGTAATGCTATTTAAATTTAAGATAAGATGTTCTTCATTATTATTCCCACATAAATATTTATTGTGTAATAAATTTTTATGCATCATTGTAAGAACAGATTTAAATTTTTGTATATTGTTATCATTTATACTGTCCTCTGGACCAATAATAAATGTGCCAAGAACACGCATTCCACCAGGTAACATTCTAGTGACCTATAAATAATAGTATTTAAAATTATTTAATTTTCATAAAATTTAAAATTTTAATTATATCTATTTAATAATAAAATTATTTAAAATAAAATAGATCATTACATGTTTTGCATGATCTGCAACCCAGCTCTCAGGTATATCTTTTACTGATTTAATGTGATTTTCAATAATATTTTGTTCAGATTTTATTGTAGTATTAAGCAATATTTCTTCTACAACATTTTTGCCAATAGGTGGTGGTGTTTTTGCTAAATGTACAATATAATCTTTTTGACCAGTACTCTGTAATATTAATTATAATTTAAATGAGATAAAATGTATTAATAATTTAAATTGGATTATTATTTAAACTTTTATTTAACATATCAATTTTAAAAAGAATATAAATTAAATAAAATAACCTAAAAAAATACGTAAAAATTATATATGTTAAAATGAATGAAAACAGGAAAGATGACATAAATTGAAACATACAAAAATCGAACCTGTCCCACAATTAGTCCTATTGTGTATTCATCTGGTCTTACTAAAGATATTAAATAATTGTGAAGACGTTCCTCTGCGTATACAGTTCGTCCCATTATTTTTAATACTTTTGTAAATGCGTAAAATTGATAATACTTCTTTACCGTTATTGTATTATCACAGATAAATTATAAGAATAGACTAATCATGTAATATGTAATGTATTTTTATATTTCTGACCCAAATTCTAGAGCTCTAGATTTCCATTACTATTTTCATGTCACTCGCATCATTACCAACAGAATGCAGAATTTGATTGTAGATTCATTTTAGTGGGAATTATAAATATAGTAACGAATTGATTGATGATCGATTAAAATATCGATATCAATATAATAAAAATCTTAAAATAATAAAAATGAAATAATCTGTGTGAAATAATTTAAAATTTTGGCGTGATAATAAAAAGAAAATGAAATTCACATTAATGAAATTCCTTGAATTTTTTTAACAATAATTATTATTGATTAATTAATATTAATTATTATATAATAATTATATAATAATATATTTTTAATATATTTTAATTTTTAATTTTTGTATTTTTTTAAATTAATTAACTATTTTTTTTATTAATTATTATAATTAAAAAATTTTTAATTAATGAATTTTAATTTTGATTTAATTTAATGAAAAAATAAAAATTAAAGATTCATTAATTTTCTTCTTTAACTAACAACTAATTTTTTTTAAATTTTTATTTTTAATTTTTAAATTCTTTAAAATATATTATTTTTAAAGAAAAATAAGAAATTAAAAATTATGTTTTTTTTTTCTGGTTTAATTCTTGTATCCACGAGTTCAGTTTGTTCTCTAATTTATACTTTTAAGTTTCAAGAACCTTAATTCAAAAATTGTGATCAAAGAATACTATACTTATTTCTTTTTTTTAAATCATTCTCAATTTTTTATATTCTTTCATGATCCTTTTTTATATTTGATATATTAATTTATTTTTTTGTATCATGATTTAAATCTGAATATAAAAAAGAAATAGCATTCTTTTTTAATCTTTCAGAAACATAATCTTTCAGGACTATCTATTATAAACTATCTATTATAAATAATTTAATACAATAATTATTTTCAGTCAATCATTTAATCCACAATTTATAATCCATATTATAAATTTATCGTTATTGCATTATTTAGAAATTAATAAAAACTTTAATCTTTTGAATTATCAGAAAAATGCAGTAATAAAAACATTTCTTATAATATTCTTTTATCTTCTTTTGATTTCATTATATCAAAGATTGACAATTAACGATTAACTTTTTTAATTGAAATAAAAATATAATAAAAAATTAACTTTTTTTAATTTATATTTTAATTTATAAAATAGAAAAAAAAACATTCTTTAGATGATTATTAAAAAAAGTAATAGTATATAGACTCAATTGTTTTATTTTAATATTTATATTAATATAATTATTTCTTTTATTCTATTTATCTCTTATTTTATAATTATTTTTTAATAAATTAATAAATTATTAAAAAATAATTATTTAATGCAAAAACAAGTATGACGATTTATTTTGCAAAAAATGCAATATTTTTAAATTTTGTATTTTAATTTAATTAATAATTATTCGCTGTAATTGATATTTGACTAAGTAGTAAAATTTATTTAATGTGCTACGGATTAAAGAAGTAAAGTTAAATGATAGGAATTGTATTTTTTTATTTAACAAAATGTCAATAAAAAATATTTTAATTTCCATGCAAATAAATTATTGAGTGTTTTGAGAATTTCGAATTTTTAAGATAACAAATAAAAGGAAATCTTAATATTCAAATTCTTATTTTATAAAAATTTATTTAAAAATTTATTTTTTATTTAATTATTTATACTTATTTAAAAACATCACAGTGAATAATTTATTAAAAATTTATTAAATTTATTAATTTATTATGATTTTTAAATTATTATGATTTACAAATATTATAATATAATATTATTTCTTTATGGAATTTAGAATGCGATAAAAGTAAGTACAAGAACAGTTTAAATTAACTGAAAAATATATAAAGGCAAATAATTTTAATAAAATGAATGAATTTTAGCTCGCATTGCAAACAAAAATTTAACAAAAAAGTTTTTTCTGTTTTTTTCGTTTCTTATATAAATTCTATAAAATCAAATATTGTATTATACAAGTTTTTTGAGATCTTTAATAATCTATTTGATAATTAGATGTAATATTCACAATCTTGATTCAAACAAATATCATCATTTTTTAATCATATAATATATTCATATTCTTTAATCAAAATTAATTTTTTTACAATAAAAAAAACAAATAAAATTAAAAAGCATATCTAATGTTAGTTTATCTAATTAATTTTTTTAGCTTAAAAATTCTATATTGTTTTCTACTTTTATAAATATAAATAATAATAATTCTATATTCTAATATTAAAATTGCAATAATTTCAGTTACAAATGTGCAACTTTGATATATAAAATGAAAAGATATAATATTTCTGATAATTTATCATTTAAATATATATTAGAAAATTTTTTTTAATTAAATAAATCTGAATGCATGGTGGCATTTATAACCGAAATCCATCTATAAAACTATATGTTTAACTATTAAGAAAAATATAATATTAAATTTACATAAAATATAGTTCATAGTAAATAGTTCAATGATAATTATCAACCTCATAGAGCACTTTAAAGAAAAATAAAATATCCCAAAGTATTGAGAATAAGCATTCACGTCAAATATTTCATTTTATGAAATGAAAGAAGATTGATATTGATAATAATGAAAATATACAATTGATATAGAAATTGATATATAATTAATATAATAATATTAGTATGCTTTTTAAAAATTATGTGCAATAAAATATTTCGCGGAAAATTTTATTGACATTGTTAAAAAATAGCATAGAAAAATCTGAATGTACAAAATGTTTTAATTATTTTATTCATAGAAAAATGGAAAATTTTAATTGATACTTCTTTAACGATGAATGTTATTGCCAATATATGAATTCAAATTTCTCAACATTATTGTAGTTGATGATACATATTGTAATATTTATTGACAAACTATATTTTCTTCATATGTTCAATATTGACAATATACATAACTATATAATTTCATTATATCAAAAATGTATATATATATATATGTATTATATATATTACATATATATAAATATAATAATTATATATATATAATAATTATATAATTATATATTAAAAATTAATTTATAGTATATTAATATATTATATTATTTATATTAAATATATTAAATATTTAATAACTGAATATTAAATAACTGAAACGATGATTTTGCATAAAAAATATTATGTTTTTAATATTTTATGTTTATTTTAATTTTGAATCTCCATTTTATATAAAATACATTGAATGAATTGAATTTTCTATTTTATTAAAATTTGAATATATATTATTAAACTATTAGTAGATTAAGATTTTTCTTTGCTTTTAATATTACTTTATTAAATTATTAATTATTATATCCTATGTTATGTTATATGAAATTTCTTAGATGTTCAATAATAATACAAATATATGATAAATTTTATAATTTACTATATTTAATATATTTAACTCGACGCTTTTTCATATTTTGTATGAAAGTTAATTATAAATTATTTATTCTTTGGCATTTTTTTACTTTGGTATTTGTTTATGTTTTTGTTTTAGTAATTTATCATTTAATTTATGAGAGTGTATATGCATAATGTAAGTAGTGAATATGCAAATTGAAATTGTTGATTTAATTGAAAAAAATTATTTCCAGAGATAATTATTTGCATAGGCAATTATATTCTATAATTTTCGAAGTATATAAATAAAATATTGAATATTTTTTTAATCAGTCAAAATTTTAAAATTTTTTAAATTTCTAATTCATTTAGTGGTAAATATAATAGTTCCGAATAATAATTTTGAACAATATGAACTTATAAACAATTTATAATCAAAAAATTCATGAAAGAAAATTTTTAAAATTTTATATTCATTCGACTTTGTAGAAATTTTTATGATGCAAAATCATAAAAACTTTTGTTACCAGTAAAAAATCTTGAAATTTTGTAAAAAGATAGTTAATGCTTTATTAAAAATTGGAAAAATATTTAACATTAATATTGTCGAAATCACATAAAATACATATTCTAACAAAATATAAAGAATAAAGAATGATTAGAAAATTGTAAGAATGCTGAAATGTAAAAAATGTTATTATTCTATAACCATGAAAAAAGGAAAAAAGAATGTTATAATAAAAAAGTCAACACTTATTGCCCAGAATATTTTGCTTTCCATGTTTTACAAAACTACATATATGAATTTATATGTTATATTTTAATCATTATTGTTATTTTTGATTATTCGTATTGAAGAATTCACTTTTTTGTACAATTAAAAGTAATAAAAATTTGAGAAAATAATAATAATTTTTTAAATCAACATATTATTTAATTTCTTTTTATAATTTTATATTTAAATTTTCAGTTTAAATTATGTTTTTAAAAATATAAATAGAAACATATATGTGAATCATTCGCCATGAAAATTATGTGTGGACCATTCATAATTTACATCTTCGTATGATAAAAATTATGTATTACAATTATTGAGAGTTTAGCTAGTCAGATAAAAAAGCAAATACGCAGCTTATGAATTACCATTAATGAATGATAACGAACGTGTTAAAAACGATTGAAACATAATCCTTAAAAAATTGTTATTTTTTAGGGATAAAATTTAATTTTTAATTTTTAAATTTAAATATATGTAAAATTTAAATAAGTAATAATCTTTAAATTAAAAAAATCAATTATATATACACATAACAAAATATTCACTTAAAAATCAGGAAAAGGAAAATTTTTAATTTTTATCTAAATCTCTTCAATATATACAAGATATATAAAAAAATAAATATTATAATTATTATAACATGATTCTACACTTTTGAATCAGTAAAGATTATTAAAAAAAATTTGCAAAATTGATTTCAATTTTGAAATTCAAAATTAAAAATTTTTTCATTGTATCATATAATACTTGCCATAAGAAAGAAAAGTTTCAAAGAAATCATAGATTGCAAATGAATCATTCTCTTAAAAAATTTTAAAGTTTGGTAAATTATTTTTTTCAATATATTTATATTTGTAATAAATTATATGACATATAATAATATATAACATATATTAATTATAACAGCTATTTATTATGCATTAATTAACGAAATATATGGAATAATTCAATAAGAAAAACAATTGCG